AAAAAACGCGCGCGCGCGCACACACACATCAATTCCTTTTGACTAATTTTGAACCTCACTAGATCTCATTCCCCCTAGCAAGCAAAATTTATGTATTTTTTGACCTGTAGTACTGGGCAAGCAAGACCAGAGCAGGAGTTGATTTTGCAGCAAGCACAGCATATAGCTTTACAGGTAACATTGATGACCAAATAACTTACAAATGGATTTGGATTCTGTACTTACAAATGAAACTGATTGCGACATATTCTGCAGAAAATTGTTTTGCAGACTGGCAGTGCTCCATCTTTTCCTGGAATTGGTTCAGAGTCTATTTCTCCTGTAACCTATCTAACCAAAATTGTGTGCTTAACAGAGGTACTTCCATTGTGTAGCTTAGCTTTAACCTTGAATTTGGTGTTTGGTATCTGGTATGCAAACATAAAGCAAATATAGTCAGTTTAGTGACCAAAATGTTTACCGTTGGGGTATAATCAATAAGTGATTCTCATGGTTGTATAGGAAGTATAGTCTAGATGTGTTATGTTCTTTCGTGCTGTCCTCTCAGATAAAAATTAAATTGTAGAAGGTGGACAAGAAATATTTTCTGCCTCTTAGTCTCCATGTGTGCAAGATATTAACGAGGACATGTTGAAACATTTAGTTCCCTGCATGTAATTCTTGGTTGACTAGATAAAAACAGTTGTGAGTATGGACAACTGGATCAGTTGCGAACGAAGGTGACTAGACCTAGCTGTAGCCAACTGTCCTTCAATAAGCAAAGCTTCCTATTATTGTCGCACTATAATTGTGTCAATGCAAGGTGACAGGAAGTGCTAGGCAGCCTAGGTGTTGGACCTGATGCCTAGAGGCCTAGGCGGTTTTCCTTTTTTTATTTTTTAATTACAATAATTGATAGTAAATGCCGAAGTTATAAAAAGATTAGATGCCACGACGCCTAGGCAGATTTTGTTCTTTGTTTAACTAGTAGTGGAGATTCTGTTGAAGGTCAGAGGAGGTAGAGGAGTTGGAGACTAGAGGAGTTCGGATGACGTGGATGCTGTAACGGAGAAAATCACGATCAAGGCCTAAAGGGTGCGGCCCACATAAACAATCCAAGCTCCCCTAGGCGCTCCTAAAACCCAGGTGGGCAGTCTAGGTATGACACAGGCACTAGCGAGGGTTGCGCGTAGGCCGGGCAGTGTCCGACCTATGACATGGCCCAATCGGATTTATGGTCTGGCTGATTCTGAACCTGGCCCAGCCTACAATCTGTCTAGGTGCGGACTGGGTCAGACTCGGCTTATGGTCAGCCGATTTTTCTTTTTTTACTTTTTTCATTTTTTATCTAGACCCTACTTGTATTTAAATTTATAAAATTATATTTGATTTATATTTTTCTATTTTTTAATTCTTTATTTAAATTATATACACACACTACTATGCAATACGTGTGTTGCACGTGATGCATATTAAAAAATATTAAGTGAAATATTTGAATATTGTCTAATATTTCACGCACTAATCTTTTCACCATTTATGAAACACATTGCTTCACAAAGAACAGCGACTTAACAACACAATGCCTCTAGTTTAAGGAAACAATTTATTACTGGTCACTTACGCGTTTTTGTAGTCTTCATGTGCTGCTAAACATATGAAGCTGTCATGTGGGTTTTAGTTTAGTGCAAAAAACAAAAAAAGCAATGCCAGGGATCGAACCCTGGCCCTCAAACAAAGGAAAACAAAGGAACGTGTGTACCCAACTACCTGGGCTATATTGCTGGATTGTCCAATAAGTATGCTTTTTAGTTTTGACCCTATTATCAGAGTATGATTCCACAAATGAAAACGCGTTTTAGGCTCTTTCTATATAGAGAATGATATGTCCACCATTGTCCAAATTTTTGAAAAGAAGAGATAGGAGTTAGCGCATACATTGAGCATTCAAGCGACAAACTGATAAAATGTTGAGGATTACAGTGGAAATGACCACTCTTTGGCAATTGTTAGTAAAATATCAAGAAATATATATTCTTATCAAATTTAAATATAAATTGTACAAGAGTATGATCCATCAAGATCTTCCATAGGGTAAAGCAGTTGCTAAACTTATAGCAAAACATAACCAATATATCAAGTTCTTCACTTCTTTGCATATGTGATAAGCATCAGATATGGAGTTCTTGCATTGCCACTGAAGCTTGCATCTCATCCCATACTCCACAAAAACAATCCCTAGTTTCGCTTCCATCATCTTGACCTCTTTGAAGCCAGGATACTGGTAGAAAAGCATTTCAAGAATCACCGAAGAAGCTATCATGTGAAAGATTCTTAACAAACAAGATGTTGTTTGGCATAGCTGGAAGCTCCTAAAGCATAGACTTGGCTGCTTCAGGATAAGCTAGTTAAGATGCCAGTGGTATAGCACCACAAACACCAGCATAAGCTGGGTTCAATCTTACAGCAACCTGATTCACATCACGATGTTGGTCTTTGTGCTGCCTTTTAGCTCTGTCATCATGCCCCCTCCGTTTTTCCCAGCGAGCAAAAGAACCTTCAGTCTTTGCCATAACATCTGATTTGGTCTTAGCATATTAGATTCTCATAGCCTTGTTGTAGAATGGAAGTCCTTGCATCCTCATAAGTGCCGTAGTCGCTGAAGAAACAGACAACACATGCTTGTCCTTTATACTTCAATGTCTTGAAGGCCAGGGGCAGATCCGCCACTTTCCTCAAGGTGACATTGTCCTACATGGGTGTATCAGTGGAGAATAAAGCAATGTAACTCACAATTAAACATAGAGTCACATATATGGGCATAGAGAAGTTCTATCAGCAGTTGCTTTTTAGCGACTGCCGCTATCACCCGCTCTAATAGGGGACACCTGTCCCTAAACTTAAGACGACCCAAGAACTAACCCTACCTGACCCGAAACCCATGGCTCTCTCCCTTTTATTTTCTGCCATTGTCTAAGGGCAGCCGCGTAGCGCAACTGTCCTTAGACTTTTTCATGTGTATATTACCCCTTAAAGGATTTCCATGTGTATAATTACCCCTTAGAGGATTTCACATTCTTATGGTTCATTCATGTTGGGTCTTTGTGAATTGTACAAATGTTCATGCCGTCAGCGGCTTTGAATTTGGATATCAGGTTGATATTTTAAGCATATAGTGACACCACTTTCTAGAAATCATGTATCCACCAATGAAGGCTGGTACTTCTAATAATTTTGTGAACTGAGAGAAAATAGCATCAGGTAACTTTTTAAGCTCTTCGATCTTGATCTTCTCGTTGAGGTTTTTGATGCAGATGGTCATGTTGAGAGGGATGGTAGGAGTGTATCCAACAGTGACCGTACTCATCATTGTCGACTGCTAGTTGCTGCAACCTTAAGAGGTTGGGATTTCTTTAATTTTATGAAAGAGCTTCCGCTACTTGCACTTGCTGAGGAAGAAAACATTTGAATAATCCTGAAGATAGATGTAACCATCTTCAAAATCCCAGAATGCTCTCATAAGATGGAAGAATGCAATGAAAATACAACAGGGGTCATAGGAACTATGAGGTATTTAGCAGTGACACGGCACGATTACGAATCAAGCTAGTGTGCAGGGCATGATGAAAAATAAATTTACATCCTAGAATTGATTTGCTTCTTTGTTCCATCCAAATGATATAAATTAAAGAAGCCACATTAAGGGAGAAAACAAAAACTTAGTCATCACACATAGTTAATAGTCACCTAGTCATCTGTTAATAGCATAGAAGTTGAAGATTTTCAAAGAATGGAACGGAAAAAAAGAATCTTATAGAGAGTCCACTATACTATAAAGTGAGTACAGAGAGCTCGAAAGTGCATACATTTAAGTTAAAAATTACTGATACAATATTCTTATTATATTGATATTTGAACTCGAAGTAATGATATTTGTATAGAATGCAGAAGTTCAGCACGACAATTTCAAAGCTAATAACTTGAACAGGCAAATGTGTCCCTTTATGATATGCATTTTGGTAGTAGGCAACTCTTTATCTACATTTTACAAAAACTTGGTAGGGATCACTCATGAGCTTTAAAATTGAGGGTGTTACACAATTCTAATGAGAAGTTGAGTTAGTTTAGTAAAACTTCACACAAATTCAATTCTAACAAGTACAAATAGTAATTGAGTATATTGTGAAGCTTAAAGTTTAGTTACTATTAGAAGTGGGGAAGCACACATTTGCATTTGGGTCAGAAGTATCAGATACAAGGGACGTCTTACATGGATACTCTATATATACCCTTTAAGTGAACTGTTCCCTCCCTACCTTGGTCGTTCACTCTCATTATACAGACTAACTAAAAGAAGAATTCTGCTTCTCATAATTGGTATCACTGGTCAAAAGTTTATAGCCAATTTCAACCTAAGAGACTTATCCAATGCACTTTCAAAAGCAATTAAGATGGTGAACTGTTTTTTAACTCAGCATATTGCAAATCAACAAAAATATTGAAACTAATGGTCTGCATTTCACAAATCTTTTATGAGTATTTTCTTGTAGTTTATTAGTTTGTAACTTTTACTATAATGTTTCATTATTTTTTAAGACTCAGATCTGCTATTTCTAAGAATTAATAGTTTACAGAAATTTTTTTCTAATCATTTTAGATTTATCACCAGTCTGCGAAGATGCTTTTCAGCACATTGCCTCAAAAAGATTTGAGATTGGAGGAATTGATTTGACAAATATACTTTCTCAGAACTTCATCAGTTCAATCCTCTAGAGAATATTGATCTTTTTATGTGGAAAAACTAAGATGCAGAATGCTTATTGTTCAAAAGATCAAACTGCCTTTGAAAAGACTAAAAATTCACGTCATAAGGAAATCCACACCCTCTCATAGAGATAGGTCTTTATAAATCTGAATGATAGTCTTACTATGACAAATATCAAATGCATATGCTATACCATGGCCTGGGCAAAGTTTGATGTGCTTTTCATAGTAATTTTATTTTCTTAGTGTTTGATGTGCTTTTCACAGTAATTTTATTTTCTTCCATCTTAATTTCGGGACACAATCACTCATTGGTGCCTTACAAATCTATCTAAGAAGTGATGTCATGATACATATGGTCTATATTCAGAAGGATTCTTACAAATTCAAAAGAAATTGGTTTAGCAGTATTGTCATTAGCGTGTACACAAACCAAGAACTCCATAAAGCATGCATCATATCATTTTACATAAAACGTACATGATCTTTAAGGCACAAATGATGAAAGCTTGCTTTACGGATATCGAAACTGATTCCCAAATGATTGGTTTTTCTTAGAAACTGTTTGTTGAAAAGCCTGTTCCTAAAGCTCAAAGTATGTTTTAGGAAGATAACTTGGTCAAACATTTCCCTTTTAGTGTTTCCTGGGTATAGGAATCTTAGCAATTTACGGAACACCTAAATAATTGACAAACATCTTGGAAGGAAATCATGATACAGGCTAATTAACCAAAAACTGGATAATTAAATTTAGGAACCACTAAATAAAGAAAATCAAAATCATTGGTATAGAAAAATAACATATCCCTCATATGATCTTTCATTATCAAAGTCAACAAAAGAATTTACCTTGATAGATTGGTTCTTACCAACCTCAGATCCCTACACCCTAAATCTCAATAAGCACTGCATCGAAAAGTAAAAATTAGTAAATACGACCAAAACTAGTTGCCATTTGGTAATCCGCGAAGCACATAAAATAAGAAATATCAAGACAAGAAAGAAATCAATGCTTACATCCAAGAAATCCGCTCTTTTCTCCATCAAAATTCAGTCAACAAGCAATTTGTACATTCACCAAGGATTGAAAAATTAATATATTAGTTAATTTGGAGTTGAAAGATTCCATTTATTACTATGTGTAGATTGAGAGAAATCAGGGAGATGTTTTTTTTAGGGGGGGGGGGGCGAGTTGATTTGATTGGAGTTGCAAAACTACAAAATTGATAGGTGTCATGATATTTGGCTTTTACACGGGAGGGTTGCAGGAGAGGAATTTGATGAGGTGGGTTGCTGAAGAGAAATCTGATCAGGTTGAGAGAGGGAGAGAGAGAGGGAGGGAGGGAGGGAGGGAGGGGGGAGAGAGAGAGAGAGAGAGAGAGAGAGAGAGAGAGAGAGAGAGTTTTAAAATAGGTATTAGATAGAGGGAGATAAATACGTTTTTTATTGATCTTCTTTAATTATTGATAATTAATAATTGTGTTAAAATTTTAGGAGTAATAAAACTTGGTGATAATGATAATTGTAAAGGGCAAAAGAGGCCATCAAAGGTTTCAACATCTATATTCTCTTTTATAAGTAGTGTGTGTGTAATGTATGTAACTATGTATGTGTGTGTAATGTATGTATGTATGTGGGCCAGGTTTTCCTCTCTTATCATGGCTCTAGGGTTTGACCCAGCTTGGCCCGTGCACCATGTGGTTCGTGCACAGGTCGTTTTTGGCCTGACCTAGGTATTTGGCCCAATTCAGACTGGCCATGCCCACCCTTGGCGCTAGGCAGGTAACCTAGGCCTAGGTGCACACCTACGCGGGCTAGACGGAGGCTTTTTAAATATTGTGTCAATGGAAGGATTATTTATTTAATTATTGAAGTTGACTTTTTGCTTATTCTCCATTACATCTTCTCTGAGTAATAGGTATTTACAAACATACACTTAACCTGTAAAGAGTAAGAAAGCACGAAAGCTTAACCTTTGAAGATTAAGGCCTTGATAATGGTGTACACCATAATGGAGAACATTTTACTGATTTGGTTGATCCCTTTATAACTTCTATGCTAGTCTGTTTTGGGTTCATATCTAAACTTTATAGTTATATTAGTAGCTTTAAAAGATTATCTATGAAGTCATACGGAAATAAACTAAAATTTTAGTAACTCCATTGCTTCTAATTAGATAATTAAATCAAGAACAAAAATCAAAGTCCAATCCAATATCTCGATTACTACAAATTTCTGACATCTTTCACGTCTTTGCTAGATATTCTGGTTCTAGTGACATAGTACATCTCTTACGTCAAAGTTTCCTTTTGTATGTTTTTAATTGACACAGCCTATAAATGTCCGTTATGTGTCAATGTGTTTGGCAAGTATTTTGCAAGTATTAGAGTGTGTTGGTGCAGGTCTGTGCATCTAAATAGCATGCCTGCCGTCTCACCTACTTACGGGTCAACTGTTCAACTCAGCTCACTTATTGTGACATGATTGATTCCAATGTCTTTAAACATTTCTCTGAATGTTACACAAATGAACTATCTCGTCTCCTAAATTTTCACACAATTCTTTTGGAGGGAAAATCTTGGTTTTTAACCTATGATGTTTTGTATATATTAAAAGGTGGCATCTGTGGATGAGCTTAGAGATGATGATGAATATGAAGAGATACTAGAAGATATGAGGGAAGAAGGCGGAAAGTTTGGTATGTACTATTATTCTTTTTTTTTTGTGGATCCATGTTCACGTGTATAGATTTTTTGAACAATTTTGGGCCTTTATGGTATTTCTAAAAAAAATGAAATGAGTCTGTGTCTCTTGGAATTAGTAGTGCTTTTATTCTAAATAATATTTTGTTTCAATCTGTTCCAACAATTTGCCATATGATAGGTTCACTGCTGAATGTTATCATACCTCGCCCCATATCTGGTGAGACAATTGCTGGAGTTGGAAAGGTGCACTTCTGTCACTTCTTAAATCTCTAATGTAGTCTCCCAATTGTGCCTGTAAATTTCGGTTATCCAGCATTTTCCCCTGCAACACTCTCTTAGATCCTTCTTTTCGTAAAAAGGAAACCCAAAAAAAAAAAAAAAAATCTGACAAGGAACAATATAGCTGCTGCAGTAGGTGACATGACCAAGAAATTCTCAAAAACATTTCATTAGATATCCGTGGGATATATAGTTCCTTGATTGTAGAACGCGCATGAACTTGTGGATGGTTATGTATAAATCCATTGCCTTGTAAATCCTTTCCTGATGACTCCTATTAAGGAATGAATCCTGGGTTATAAAAAGCCTATTAATATTGGGGGGTTCAGTTGCTTACTCTGTGGCATACCAATTCGTTTATTCTTCATTGGTCAGTTCTTCCTTGATCAGCATATTGCGTACACCTCTATTCTCACCGTCATATGCATCATTCATCTTAAATCTGCTACCATCTGCACGTTTACTTTAATCACTTTCACTTACTCATATCTTATACCTGTGAGAAGTCTTTTAGTGGGACTCTAGAGATTTAGCTCTTTCCACATTCATCCTATGGCCCGTTTGACAAATGTTTAAATAAGAGGGATCAAGGACAAGGATTAATCTAGTCAACCCATTTAGAACAAAGAGGAACATAAATTGGTTAACCTGCTAGGTAAGATTTATTTTTATAATTGTGCTCTTTTCAGTGTTTGTGAATTAGAGAGCATTGTTACTACTTTCTTTATAAATGAAGGGGTTATTATTTAACCCAAGGAGGCGGATCAGTAACCCTCGCTTTGAGGGTTAACTCATTTTAACCTCTCTAGGGGTGACCTCTACCCTCTTGTAATGTTTGTGTGGCAAATGGGAACTGGTCAACTCATTTCATTTATGTATAGTCTTGTTGTGATTGGTAGTTTAAGGAGGGGTTAACTCTCATTAATCCTTAAGGTTAATATATCTGCAAGTCGTCGACTCTGATTACTCGCTTTCATGAAACACCTTAGGTGTTCTTAGAATACGCAGATACCACAGGATCAGCGAAAGCAAAGGCTGCTCTCCATGGAAGAAAATTTGGGGACAACATTGTTACTGCAGTCCATTACCCTGAAGAAAGTTTCTCCGTTGGAGATTATGGAGCGGTAACAGTGGGCTAAATCTGCCTTAGAT